AGCACAAGTCGGTTAGTCTTGTGTGCTCCCGACCCCGACTCAGACTGCCAACACTCTACGCAGCCACTCCGCAGCCCCTCCATCCGGGGGTGGCGCTGCATTGAACACACCACGAAGGGCTCTCAGGTCCCGCTAGAGCGAGTCCACAAGTCTCAGCTAGGGCAAAGTCAAAGGCTCTCTGAAACAACCCCCCAAAACACCACCAACGTATGTATATATATATATGTGTGTGTGTGTGTACGTATGTACGTATGTCCGACCGTTATGGCGGTATGGGTTATCAGCTCACCTGCTGTTGCTGCGGCCCCAACATTATCGCAACCCCCCCTCTCCCCCGATCCCTCCCCTCCAAAACCCGTAACCCCCCCCTCTCCTGCCCTGCCCCCCCCCCACCGGCAGCCAAGCCGGTGGGTGCAGTACGTCCCGAGGGGGGGGCTCTGGCTCTGGCGGCTTCCCTGGAGAGAAAGGTGGGAATTGGGGGAGGGGGGAAGACGGGGGGCAGGAAATCTCGTGAGACACCTCCCTTTCCGTTGTTCCTGACCGCCAAAACCTCCATTGCTATTACTTATCCTCCTCTCACATACATGCATATATACATACATATATACTTACGTACATACGTACGTACATACGTACGTACATACGTACGTACATACGTACCCATTCCTTCAATCCCCCCAGGTGCTGAACTGTCTTGGTTGTGGTAAGATCTACGACTGCCGCTCCGTTACCAACGACATTCTGAGATTCTTGGGTGAGTGGAGTGAGGGGGTGAGTGGAGTGAGGGGGTGGTGGAGTGAGGGGGTGGTGGAGTGAGAGGGGGGTGGAGTGAGAGGGGGGTGGAGTGAGGGGGTGGTGGAGTGAGAGGGGGGTGGAGTGAGGGGGTGGTGGAGTGAGAGGGGGGTGGAGTGAGGGGGTGGTGGAATGAGGGGGTGGTGGAGTGAGGGGGTGGTGGAGGGGCAAGGAGGAGGGTGTTGCGAAATCGTCACAAACAACACCGCCTCTACAATGACCGCCCCCAATTATGCAGACCGCGGTGGCGTGTGCACTTTCTGTGGCGATGCCGTACCGTTGTCGTACAAGGACAGACAGAAGGCGGCCGCGGCGGCCGAAGCTGCTTCTACTACTGCTGCTGCTACTGCGGAGGCTGAGTCAGCAGCAGCAGCAGCAACCGCCCGCGGGGCTACGGACGAGGGAACGGAGGATGCGGCGACGGCTGCGGCCCGCGCGTTTAAGGTGGTACCGTACCAATTTCAGATTCCGTACCAATTTCAGATTCCCTACCAATTTCAGATTCCGTACCAATTTTAGATTCCGTACCAATTTCAGATTCCGTACCAATTTCAGAATGCCCCGGAATGAACCTCTCGCCGATTCAACTGCTCGTCCATCTGTCCCATCGTGAATCGCTTACTGCTGCTCTGTTCGCGTGTGTATTTCGATATGTGTGGCTCCCCCTCTGCCACCTCTTTCCCAATCTCCTCCCCCCCGCCGTCTATTTCTGGTATCTGCTTCACATTCTGACACTGGTTCGTCTCACCTGTCCAAACCCCTGTCCCCCCATTCCGGCCCATTTCCTTTCTGCGGTGATCTTGGAGACCGCTGTGCTCATTTCCTTGTTGGTATTGCGGCCGGGATTGTGCTTCGATGCCTGAATCCAAATGTGTCTGATGTGTTAATATAGATAGATAATACAAAATATCGAAATGTGAAATATTAATGCAAAAAAAATCATAATGTGTGCGTGTTTTAGGGTTTTAAGCCGTACGGCCTAGTGCCCGTACAGCTCCCCCGATCTCTTTCCTGACCTATAGCAGCCAACAAACCAACAAAAAGCGCTAATGGACGCGATTTCCTGGATTTGCACACCTTTTTGCCAATCTCAACGGTACGGCAGGACCGGCTCGTCGAGTACGACAGGAACGCTGCCAAGCGTACGACAGTCATTGACGACCAGAGCGACTTTTTCGAGATTGACACCAACGCCTGGCTCACTGACCAGGTAGGTGTGTGTGTGTGTGTTAGACTGTGTGAGTGGAAACGACGGGCAAGTGAGTGACAAATGGCGGAGGGGTGAAAACACAACCCGTGTCACTCCCCGCACATCTCAACCATTCTCTGCATTCATTTCCTAACCTCCCCCACCCCCCCGTTTCTTGCTCCAACCCTCCCCCTTCCCTTCCCTTCACTCCTTCAATGCTGCTCCATTAATTCATCTCTGGTATCAGCATCCGGTGCACCCTTTTCCCGCAGTACCTGTCCATCTATTTTCTATCCATAGTATCAGCATTACTCGTCTGTGGTTCGTCTCCCCCCCCCATCCTCCCCTCCACCCCCTCTCCTTTCCCTCCAACCTCGCTCACTCAAACCTGACTATTACGGTGACCCTGTTTTGCGACTGTTCGGCTGCGAACCCCGTCCTCGCGCGGCCGCGCGTTGAACGTCGGGCCGGATAACCCGATTTCCTTTTCCTCCTCTTCGCTCCTTTCCTCCTCCTTATGAGCGATGCCGCCGGCAGTTCATTTCTGATTTCCTCCTTTGCTTCTAATTCCCCCCTTACCCTCTCCTCACTTGCCTTCTCACTTGCCTTCTCACCTCCCTTCTCACTTCCCTTCTCACTTCCCTTCTCACTTGCCTTCTCACTTGCCTTCTCACTTGCCTTCTCACTTGCCTTCTCACTTGCCTTTTCACCAACCCACCCTTCCTCCTCCCTCTCCTTACCCCCTTCCTCGGCTGTTTGCCCGACCGGCTTTGTGGCGCCACCCGCCACCCGCCACTAGGAGCGTGATGAGCTCCGGCGGCGGCGGCAGCTTGAGGAGGAGGCGGAGGCGGCGCGGCGCAAGAAACTCACCGTCACCATTGACCTCATTGGCCGTAAGGTGACGGGAAATGTTGTGTACGGCACATGTACGGCACGGTGTTGCGTCTCCTATGCTGGCGCACACGCCCCGGGAAAGGGGGTTGGATCCCCGGGGGGAGGGGCCGGAAACCAGTCTGAGATTGCACCACAGATATGCTCCCAGGCGTAGATGGCTGAGTCAGGTTTGGCTGGTGTACTCCTTTCCGTACAGGTCGTACTAGATGAGGATGTACGGAAGGCGGAGGCGGCGGAGGCGGCCGCCGCCGCCGAGCGCACCGCGGCCGCGGCAAAAGCCGCCGCCGCCGCGGCCGAGGCGTTGCGCAATACTGACGGCGGTGACGGCGGCGGCGCGGCCTTTAGCGGCAATGCTCTCAGAGGCGCGGTGAGGTCTTACTGGGGGCCTCATTGGAAGTGGTGTGGGAGTGGTGTGGGAGTGGTGTTGATGTGATGGTGTGGGTATATTTGGTTCGTCTTAAGCCCCCGGTAAATATGTATGTATGTATGTATGTATGTAAGCCTACACCCCCGTGAAACCCTCGCAAGCAGGCGGCGGCGGCGGGGGGGGCCCCGACCCCCAGGCAGTTGGCAGCTGCTCTTGACTCGCTGAGGCAGATGAAGGCCGCGGTAAACCCGGCAGTCGCCGCAATTGCAGCGGCGCCCCTCTTCCTGCCGGCGGGGAGAGGGGGTGCCGGCGCTAGCGAGGGTGCGGGTGCGGGTGCGGGTGGGAGTGCGACGGCGGGCAAGGCCGGAACTGGGGGAGGTCGCGATGTGCCGGGTAGGGGTACGACAGCGGCTGGTGGTGGCGGCGGCGGCAGTGCGCCGAAAGGTACGGCGTATGGCGATGAGGGTGGTGTGTGCAGTGTTGCGCCTGGTGGTGTGTTTGCGTCATTGCGTGTCGATGTCGATGCCGTACATGCAAAAACACCCGTGAACGGGCTGATGGATGATTATCCGTCTGTCCGTCCGTCCGTCTGTCTGTCTCTGTCTACGGGTGTGGATGCCGGGTGTGCCGGGTGGTTTCTGACATGTTGCTGTTGTCGCGCACTGGAGAGCTGATCACCGCACGGTCCACACACAACGACAGCTACATCCCCGACCCCCCAGAAGGGTCAAGAGCTCACCTTCCTCGCAAATATTTACACTCCTTTCCCCCTCCCCCTCCCCCGCCTACGACTGGTACACTCTTGCCCTGGCAGCAGCTTCACTCGTTTGTGGTTCGTCTTTCCCCCTCCCCCGCCCCCAAAACATGTCGGTCACGTAACGGGGCCTAACTTCCGGAGCCTTGAGTCACTGACTTGATCGCTTAGAGGACTCAGTTTCGAACTTTGCAGTTTCTAACTTTGCACGCCTTCCGGCAGTCCATTCCATCTTTCCTTGCATATGATTTCCCCCTTTCCCCCTCTTCCCCCCCGGCCGTGTATTTCTGGTATCTGCGTCACTCGCCAAAAAACAAACATTCGTCCTAACCCCCCTGTGCATCCCTTCCGACCCCGCCGACCCAGCCCCAGCGGGACGGGGCAGTGCTGGCGCCTCCGTCGCATCAGGTGGTCGTGGTGGTGGTGGTGGCTCGGGACATCGGACAGGCCCAGGACAGCGCGGAGTCCACGAGCGCGTCCAGTACGACATGGGAGCTGAGTTTGGTTTCGATGCCTTCGGCGTCGAGGTGGCGTTGGACGAGCTGATGGGCGGCCTGACCACGGAGACGGCCGAGGAGGAGGTGGGTGCCGGTGCTGGCGGTGGTGGAGGGAGGATGCGGTCGGGGGTTGGGGGTGCGGTTGGTGTTCCTGCAGCTGTAAGAGCGTGAGGAGGTGCGAGGGAGAGGAGGGGGGAAACGGGGGTGAAGGGGCCGTGCGAGGGTGTGGGGTGTATGTGGTGTGGATTGGTAGATGTTGGGGGTTGTGGATGGGTGTGGAGTTTTTGGAAATGCGAATGTAGTAAATATGTGTGATACGGAAATGGGCATGGATATAGGGCCTTGCGTGTAGTACGGTGTAGAAGGGCGCGAAGAAAAAGGGGTTTGTTGTTATGTAGGTGTGTATGTATGTTGTTGCAGGATGATGAGAATTCCAATCGCGAGGATTGGGTTGTCGGTTGTCGATGTTGATGTTGGTCGATTATTTTGAAGAGGTGCGGGGGAGTCACGGGGGGGGGGATGGGGCTGCGGTGCCCATGCGCATGTGTGTTTTACGTGCGTGTGTATGTGTATATCTCCGCGTGTCGTCAATTTTTGGAGGAGTTCCATTCCGAGTAGGTATGGATAGAATAGAAGGCAAGAAAGGGGAGAGCGGGGAGGAGACGAGAGGGGAAGGGAGGGGAGGGGAAGGGAGGAGACGAGATGCGCTGGAAGGCGCGTCACGAGGGCAACAGGGCAGCAGGTTGGCTGCATTGAGGATGCCGCGAGGCCTCGATAGGGGTCGTGGGCCGAGGGAGATATACAGCGATCATCTCCCTTGTCCGCTGTCGCGATGCGCTTGTAGGGGATAGTGCGAGACATCGTGTGCACGTATGTATGTATGCATGTATGTGCGTGTGTGTGGTGTTGTCAGGGTTGTGTAATGGGACCGCCGCGCTTTTCATGTTGCTTCGTACATCTGTCCAAACGGCCGTGATGGCGGACTGGGGCGATCGAAGCCGGGGAGATTGATAGTAGATAGACATGTCTGGGCCGCGTGATCTGGGTGATAGGGGGGCAATGACACAGAAGCAAGATATGGGTATCTGGGTAATAGGGGGCCAAGGACCATACGCCTATACGAGTTGCAAGGGTAGCGGTAATCCCCAAGCATGGAGCAAACGTTTGGGTAAAAGGGGGCAGTGCGAAGCGAAGACAACAAAGCGCGGGTAGGGGCAAACACAAGCCAATCAAGCCGATTAATTAAGTCATGCGTTAATGCGTTAAGAGAGAAACGGGAGTCAAATGTGGAGATGGTTAAAACCTCAACTGTGGAGCCGAAGGATGAGGGAGAGAGGGAGGGGGAGGGGGAGGGCTTGAGAGACACAGACCACTTGCTGGTGCACAAAGATGGAGTCTGGGCTGGCATTCAGATAGGAACGGGGGGGGTAGCGGGGAAATGAGATTGTGAAAAAGGGGGTGGTATTGGCAATTGTTGCAGGTAGTGTCACAGAAATTTCTAACAAATCCGCGACATGAGTTGTATCAGTTGATAACACCGAAGAGCAACCCAAGCTGTACAATAAAACGGCAAGCAACGCACGAAGCAGGCGTACGCGCCTATCTTGCGTCACACCAACACGCACCTAGATAGACAGAAGACCGGGGCTTCATCTGGCCTTGCGATCCGGTTGGCTTGTGAAAATCCCCGGTTTGCCTCGTGTAGCTTCTGCGCGGGGGATGTAGGGGGGTTTGCGAACAAGTCGAGATGGAAGGAGGACATGTGTGGGGACTTATGGAAGGAGGTGCAGGAAAAGGTTTGATTTAACTGTCGAGTACCCACTTTGTGAAAACGAAAATCCCGGATACATCTACATACAACTTACAACTTGAAACCGGAAGGCATCTTTCTCGGTGTGGAAGGCATTCTTTCTCCCCACCGGAAGTCGTTTGAAAGTTCGTTGCAACTCTTGCAAAATTTCACGATGTATCATCAAGCGGCCGGTCACCACTTGTTCGGTTACTGTAACTGTATACGATGCAGCATACACCTATCAAGACACAGCGCTGTCCGCAGAATTGTGTTTGCGGGCAACGTCATTGTTAAATTTCAAAAAAAATGCGAAGTTTAGCTAACTACAGCAGAAGACCGCTACTCAAATTATGATTACTTTGTTTGAGAAATCTAGTTCATGGAGGCGCAGGAAATTGGCGAGTCGCTGCGCCATGACGTCGTGGGTGCAGCAGGCTGTCACCCGCCATGCGGGCCGTCGGAGCAAACAACGCATCTGCTAATGACCACAAACGATCTGCTGCGTTACGTGCTAGGGCGGGCTCCAAGGGTGCCTTTGGCTGCAGCAGCAGCTTCGGCGGGCCCCACACCGCCAATATCATCAGCCAATGTTGGACCTGGACAAGCGCCGTCTCCGGCCCCAACCATCTCCTCTCTATCATCGCTACCCTTCTCCCCTTCCTCCTCCTCTTCCCATCCGTCCACACAGCCGCCTGCCGAGCTTCCGTCCTGGTCCTCTGCCTCGAAGCAATGCCGCCCTGTGAGCAAAAGAAGCGAAGATGTACTGTTCGTCCTGTGAGCATTAGTCGGCCCCTGAGTATTCTCAACAACAACATATCCTCACAAATCCCTCCTCCATTTCTTCTACCTACGCAAACATCGTGATTCATGAGCACAACAGAAACTAAAACCCCTCCTCTTCCTCTTCCTCCTCCTGCTGCACCTTTATCCAACACCGCTGCAACTCCCCGACTCTTCTGGACACAACCGTCCTTCGCGACCCCTGCACAAAGCATGTACATACATACATACATTATGTACATATGTACGTACGTATGTACACGCGTAAGCATTCCGCCCCGGCCAGCAAAGAGCCCCCCAAAGCAGTTCCGTGCACGGTGACAAACAACCCCGAATAAATCACAGTGTTGTTTCTTCCCCCCGTTAGGGGGGGAAAGTGTGGGGATTACGACGAACCACCAGGGGGAAGGGGTGTGTGTGTGTGCGGTGTGGGGGAGGCGGTCGGCCTCTGTGGAAGGCGCGGGAGCTGAACATCTCAGACCAGGAGCAGTAAACCATGCAGATGGGGAGAAGCTGTGTATATTTTAAATAATTTTCGCGCCTTCTTGCCACTTCCTTGCTCTCTTCTCAGAGGCGATTCAATGAAGCTAGGCAGGAAAGCAGTAAGAGGACGCTTGCACCTGGGAAGGCCCCACCCGCTGTGTACCGGGCCGCTCTGCCCCCCTTCCCCTTCCCTTCGGTCCTTTCGCCCCTTCTCTTTCCTCACCTTCCTTTTCCTCTTCCCACTAATCAGCACGCACGTGTCTGTTTGGTAAAATGTCTTCAGTAATAATATTCTAATATCTTTAGCAAGGAGCCTTCCTGATCCATAATGGCACCGGGGGGTGGCGGGAACACACACGCACGCGTGTGTGTGTATGTGTGTGTGTGGAGGGTTGGGGGGCTGTTGTTGTACTGCACGTGTCCCCGTAAGTCTCCCTGACGCCGATGATTGACTGATAGACAGGTAGACAGACAGACGGGCAAACACACACAGACTGGCTGAGTGGTGTATGCATCAATCGGCCCCCGCGCCCTCCGCTCCAATCTCCCGCGTTGTCGCTCCCGAGCTGACCTGCGATGATTTTGTATTTTGCATCTCCTCCTCCTCCTCCTCCCCCTCCTCTGAGCGTTTCTTCCCACAACACACATATCCACCACCATCACCACCACCACCACCACCACCACCACAACTGCGTCACCCTCCTTAGGACTAGATCATCACCTCCTTAGTGAGGGGGGAACGACTCCCAAAGTCTTAACTGACGCAACGACCATAACAACGACCATAACAACGACCATAACAACCCATGGCAAGAACCTTCGTCCTCCGCGGTGCAACGGCAACAAATAAAAAAGAGAGCGAGCGGGAGGGGGGAAATATGAGACGAGAGATGTTGGGGTTGAGGTGATTCTTCTCGTACTGTTGTCGTACACCACACACCTTACCTTGATTACATCTCTTTTTGCGCAGGTCGGACCGTACGACATCTGCTTATCGAACGAAGCTCCGGTCGCAGCCGCCAACCGCACGATGGCGGCGGCGGCGGCGGCGTCCGCCGCTGCCGCCAAGGCGCTGACAAACGTACCGCGCTCCGTACCGGGTCTGCCGCCGGGTGTCATACTGCTGAAGGGCTATCTCACAATGGACGAGCAGATCCGGATTGTCCTGCAGATCCGAGAGCTCGGCGTGGGGCCCGGGGGGTTTTACACCCCGTCGTACAACACCGGCGCGCGGCTGTCGCTGCGGATGATGTGTATGGGGCTTCACTGGGAGCCGCGTACGAGCAAGTACGAAGCCACGCGGTATGTACGGCGCGTAATGGTGCAAAAGGAAAGATCTCCGAGGGACTAGATGGGGTGTACGACACGTGCAAAGCTCTTCCTTGTACCTTGAAACATGAGTCACACGTGAGTACGACTCATGTATGTATGTCTCTTTGCGCGATGTCACTCTGTGCTGTTGTACTGTACGTAGGGTTGTGCGTGTGTGTTTGTGTGTGTGTTTGTGTGTGTGTCTCCCCGGGCCGTGCATGTAAAACCGTTGAAACCCTTGAACCCTTTATTAATCCAATCCTTAGAAGCAATCCTTAGAACTTCGGGTTTTTAATCCCCTGTACGACCACCTTAGATCAAACAAACCCCTCCCAATCACCTCCATCAGCTCCTGAAGCGCCCTCACACCCCCTCGGGCACACACACCCCCTCGGGCACACACACCCCCTCGGCCACACACACCCCGGGCCCCCCTCTCTCCCCGAAGGGGGCTGGAAACCATAACAGCACCATCAGTGATGTCGCCGCCGCCGCCGCGTCGTCGTCGTGTCTTTTTCAATAGAGAAAACTCTGAAAATACTTGCACTCAATGTACGACATTTCAGGTCATCGTACGACGGTGCGACGCCGCCGCCCATCCCGTCCTGGCTCGTGGAGCTTTGTGGGCGGTGCCTGGGGGCCGCCTCCGCCGCGGCCGCGGCCGCGGGAGGGATTCAGCTTCCGCCGCTTCGTCCGGATATATGTCTGGCTAACTTCTACGAGCGGTCTGGTCGACTGGGAATGCACCAGGTGCATCAGGCTGCCGCCAGGCTTTGTAACTTGATAATTAGTTATTTACCCGGGCCGCGGTGCGCGTGTGTTGTGTGTGTGTATGTCTATCTGTGTAAGGCGGGCTGGGGGAGGGAGGGGGGAAAGGGGGGTGGGATGATGCACAAAGTGAAAAGCAGCAAAACATATGTTGTGCGGAAAATGACACATATGCATACGTGCTGTCTCACGGCGTCACCGTGTACGGCATTCCGTGCAGGACAAGGACGAGATGCCGGACTCTCTGCGAGCTGGGTTGCCTGTGGTGTCCCTGTCACTGGGGGACGCGGCGGACTTCCTGTACGGCAGGTATGGACGCGACAGATCCTGGCTTGCAGTGGAATTGCTTTGGAATTGGCTTTTTTAGTAGTACGGCATCCCCTCGTACTTTTCGTTTCTTTTCCTTTCTTCGCCTCTCTCTATTTCTTTCCATCTGTCTGACAAAAAAACAAATCCCTCCCTTTCACACCCACACATACATACATACGTACATACATACATACATACATACACACACATGCAGGACCCGCGAGGCCGAACAGGCAAGCAGTGTACGACTGGAGTCAGGTGACGTACTTGTGTTTGGAGGTCCTGGCAGGATGATCTTCCACTCCGTGTCCCGTGTCCACCCCCACACGGCCCCCCGGGAGCTCCTGGCTGCCACCGGGTTGCGACCCGGCCGACTGAACCTGACCTTCAGGCAGTACCGAGCGCGGACAAATGCGCCGTGAGGGGGGGAGCGGGAGAGAAGGGGGGGGGAGCGGGAGAGAAGGGGGGGGGGAGGGAGAGAAGGGGGGGGGAGGGAGAGAAGGGGGGGGGGGAAAAAAAGGGGGGGGGGGAAGGAAAAAAAAGGGGGGGGAAAAGGAGGCCCTAAGAACCGTG